TATTAGATAGACGTACTCTGCTTCTTGAATGGCTTGAAGCTGTGTCAGGGGAGGTTTAGGTTGGATATCAGAAGTTTTTTCACCCAGAGGGCGGTTGGGCACTGGAACAGGCTCCCCAGGGAAGTGGTCGCAGCACCAAGAGCTCAAGACAAAGCTCAAGAAGCATTTGGACAGTGCTCTCAGGCACATAGGGTGACTCTTGGAGTGTAGGGCCAGGAGTGTAGGGCCTGTGTAGGGCCAGGAGTGGGACTCAATGATTCTTGTGGGTCCCTCCCAACTCAGCACATTCTGTGAGTCTTTGGGACTTGTCTTGATCATCTGGATGTGCCAGCTCAGGTTGATCRCAACACGTTTCCACACCGAGTGAATTACCTGTTCGATGCTGTGTTGGGTTTGTCCCTTTGTCAGCATGGTAACAGCTGAGAGTTTTTTACTGAGCCTTACCCTCAGCTTTAAGGCTGATCCCAGCCTTTCTTTTTATCCAGCCTTTTACCAGTCAATGATGAAACCAGTTTCATATTAAAATACCCAAACAAGAGCAAAAAGCTCATCTCTGAGCCTGTTTTTTTTCTGAGCTAGTGGATGTCACAGCTTCCARCTGGAACATCACATTCAGAAAGGAACAAGGAGAGCAGCTTTTATTGCTGTGATGATGCATCCTGCTTCCAGCTGCAGCAGAATAATCCCTGTCTGCCTTTCTTCAAGTTCTGCTCACTGAGCTGTTACCCAGTACCTGTTGTCTCTCTTGCCTCTCTGCTCCAGTTTTCATTTTTCTTCATTCCCATTTTGTTTATCTCTTGTTCCACCCTCCCGTTTCCCAATCTCTTTGCCTCTGGCACTCTTAGAACAGCAACGCCCACAGTGCTGATTAATCTCTTAACAAATCTCAGATTCAGTAGCAGGAGTTGGAACTCTACCAGGCTTTGGAGAAGACTCTGACCTTCATCCTGGGCTGCCTCAGCCCAACTTAAACATGCCACAAAGGATGCAACTGCTTTAGTGCTTTTCGTTTGCTGATCTGGATGATTCACTTTGGAATTGTGACAATTTCTGTGACCCTACATTTGAGCAGTCTCTTGTGACGCTTTTTATTTTGCACACCATGGTGTGTTTACTGGAATGAGAGAATGGAGGACACCGAGACCTCTCCAGGAATGTGCAGAGGTGGATGGTTACAAACAGTTCTGTTGCAYAAAATCTGTGAAACATTGTCTGAACCTTAGTGAAATGAAACCAAAATATATAATTATTTGTTTAATAATACAAGTGCAAAATCAAATTTTAAATTGCACTCAGCAGCTTACTCTGTAGGAATATCAGCAATAGGAACCATATGGGACTTCTATACCATCTCAGTAATATTTTATCCCCGAGTTCCTCATTTCACCAGTTTAGCTGCAGAATGATTAAATAAATGTACGTGCATTCTCTGTGATTAACTCTTTAATCTGGAATCTTAAAACACACTCCTGGTGATCTTTGGCAAGCTGGTGAGTTCTGTCCTGCTCTGCAAAACAGGGCGAGGACTATTTGTGGTCTAGTTTGTTCTCTTAAATTAAGCAAGAGATGAGAACAGGTTGTCCTCAGAGGGTGTGGATGCTCCATCCCTGGAAGTGTTCAATGCCAGATTTGATGGGACTYTGAGCATCCTGCTTTAGTGAGTGACATCTCTGCCCATGGTAGATGATCTTTAAYRTCCTTTCCARCCCAAGCCATTCTATTACTCTAGGAGTTCAATCTCTCATGGTCCTTCTGAGCTGATTCTGTCTTACCAAGCAGTCTTCAGTTTGAAGAGGAATTGCCTTAATGTTTTTTTTTTTTTTTTCCTCAGCATGAGAATTGCAGGGCTGGATGTCAGCACTGCTGCTCCTTTCTGGCATAAACTGCATGAAAGAAATAACCTACTGTCATTAATTTATGGTTATCTATATTAATTTTATTGCTCTGGAACAGAGACTATGGATGCCAGTGAGATACAAATTTTAAATGAGTATATACTTTCCAAAATTAATTCAGTTTGTGACCTCTGTTGATCCTGACTCAGTGCCAGCTATATTTGAGTTGGTGTCAGCAATATTGATGTTATATTTTTCGGGAGCTGAATGACAAGATGAGATGATCACAGTGCTTTTAGGTGGCAGTAGTGATTGAGCTGGGTTAGAAGCAGGAAGTGCAGATGCAGCCTCAGCGTTTCACTGCTCATCCTTAGTGTTTGCTGCTGCTTAGGYCTTTCTCTGTTCCAGTGCCTACTGTCAGGGAGGCCCAGGGAAAGACAGTAAGACAGAGGAGATTTCTGACTGTTTTATTCACTTTTCCTGATACCTGATGAAAATTCACTGTGTCATTTGCTGTGGAGCTGGTTCTCAGATGTTAGACTGTGTTTTATGCTCCAAGATAATTATTCCTGTCCTGGTAAAAGCTGCTGGGGCAGGGATGTCTTGTTACTAAAATTATTTAACTTCAACGATTAATTTTAATAATTCTGGTAATAATAGAAATAATATGTGACAGAAGAACCACCTACTGAAAAAATGTTCTCAAACTTGAAAAATGTAAAAGTTTAGACTGTTTAAACATTTATTTCCTTGCATTGAGTTCAAGAAGGGGCTGGTGGTATCAAAACAGCAGAAAACGTGCTTAGTTCCTGACAAACAGTACTTAAGTTCAAAGGCCRGAATAACTGACCAGCAAACAGGACTAGAGATTTTTTAATATCTTTATTATGTATAATTGTTATCTGTGTGGGTTTTATTGTTTYGAGAAATTAATTAAATGTGGGTGATTCTAAACAACATATATTGTGTTCTGGTCTGAACTGGACAAACTGCTTGCTGACCTTGAAGCCTGCAAGGTTTTTTCTCCAAAGATAAGTTTGCCTGCTTCTTGGCATACACATCAAGACTACTGTAGAAAAGRCTTGAAACTCTTAAGAAATACAAAAAGCTGAATGAAAAACAAATAGAAATAACATCTTTGTTTAATGCAGGGTTCTTAAATGAAAGCTAAGCTACTTTGCACATTAAAGCTCTCCTCTTCCAAAGTTACTGTTTAAAGAACCAGATGTTTAGAGGGTGTTTGCTTAATGGCAGATTATGCAAAGCATGTCTGTGGGTTCCAGGTTTTTTAGCTGCAGTGTGCTCTGCCTGGGTCCCATCGGCAGGGTTTAATTGTGCTGGGACTGGGCTGAAAGCACTTTGGAAATAGTAGTTACCTAACACCGAAGTTCCCCACAGGTCTCTATGACGACAGCATTACCTTCTTGGAAAGCCTCTCACAGATACCATGTTCTTCCTATTCCCCAGAGTTTTGAGAATGAGTGGATTCTCTTTGTCTCCAAACAAAGCCAACAGAACTAATGCATGTAACAGCTGGGTCTATAACTACCTATTCTGCTTTTTATTTTACCTTACARACATGAAGTCCAAACAGAATGTTAAGCAGGATGTGGAGCTGATATTTTTGTGACCCAAATACAGTTCAGCATTGTAATGTCAGTGCTTATACATGCTTTGGCCCTCAAGATACACATTTTTCACTCTGCTGGACCAAATTCAGTATCTTTACCTTAGTAATGTGAGGATTTTTCCCTTTCTCATTCAGTCGTACAAACACGCAAGATTATCTGCCTTAAAAGTTACACATTTCTTGTACAGCATACCTGTGCAGAGCTAACTAAATAAGAGAAAATTTGAATCTTGGCCAAAGGTAATTTAAGGACAGGTTTTACAGATCAAATTTTGCTGTTTGATTTCGTTGGGATTGGATTTTACCTGAATGCTTTGAACTCGCCCACCCACAACCACTCCCCCAAATAAATTGTAGGACTCAGGCTTCAGCGTAGCTACATAATTCATAGAACATTTGGTAAGGGAGAGCTGTGAATAACTGAAGCGAAGGATGGGGAAATCCAAACTGTAAAATCCACCTGGATTATGATGAGCTGCTCACAGGAATTCTTATGTTCTCTGRAAGTGGTATATAAGAAACAAATGTTAAATATTTTAACTCATGTTATTTAACGTGGGTAATGGTATAGCCAGGAATAATTCATAAAAAAATAGGTTCGGCTTCAGAAAAAAAAAAWTTAGGAAATCCACAAGGGATGAGAAAGTATATTACCATGGCTGTGAGATCTCAAGGTACTGATGGAGAGYTCACACCAGGGTTTAATGGAAAATCCAGGTGCACACCAGAGACACAGGATGGATTGGACCTGGAAGAATATTTTTTTTCCATTCATAATTCATACTATTAAGCACATTGTCTGTTGTCCACTGATAGGAAGCCAGTTAGACAAAAGATGCAGCAAAACTAAAAGGGCACACAGAGGAGGGAGTTGGAGTGGTGCCCTTCTGCCCCAGGAGAGAACTCTGGCTCTCCTRTAACAGCTGAAATTCTTTCAAACACTTCAAATAATTACTCCATGRGGTGATTAAAAAATCAGGAGGGTTTGCAGGGGAAGGGGTGGTGTTAAGTAATTGAAGCTGTCACCTGGAAAGACATGGGTACCCCTAAAAAGGAGGAAGGGATTCAATGCAAAAAACAGATCTGTTTTCCTTTCTCAAGTATACGTATCATGTGTTTAGTGACAGTGCTTTGTAGAACTCCAGCGTGCAAGGACTAAAAGCCATGCAGATTTAGGACAGGCACAATCTCATTAATCCTGCACCATTCACGTTTAAGTGGAATTAGGAGAAAGATGAGAATTTTCCTTGTCTAAGTTGTAAGGTGCTCAGTAAGATAACTATTTTTTTAAATACATGGATAATATCATTTCAGTGTACTTCATGCCTTCTCAATAGCCTTATTTCATGTATTTTTTTAATGTGAAAATCTTTTCTCATGAACAGTGTACAAGAAAAAATATTCAAGGAATGGTTGTTTTCTTAAGTTTCACAGATGTAATTCTTAYGCAAGCTAAATTCTTCTAATTGTTTCTTGCATGTGGTGTTGTTCTTATATCAGGAAAATTGAATTCACTGTCTCCTCATGTGTTTCAGGTCGGCAAATTCCACCCTTAGATCCTCATGAAAACAGTAACAATGGAGCAATTAAACTTGGAAGGCAGACTTCACAGACGGGTAGGCGGTGCTGCTGACCCAACTTGATCTTTTTAGATTTACTTGAAAAACAGCACCATTTTCTTTTTTTTTTTTTTTTTCACTGAGAAAGGACTTTATGATCTCAGTGACGTGGCTCCTTATCTTGAAAGCAGTAATTTCAATACTTCCCATGAGCAATAACGCAAGGACCAGAAGCACAAGGCTTTACTTCAAAGGGATTTTGCAAAACCCAGTTGGAAAATCCTCTCTAATATCCTGTCAAAATTACAATGTCAGAGTACTCTGATTCTCTGTTTAAGCCAGTGACTGTTCTTTTTTTTTCAATAAAAAGATCAGTTTATATATAAAATTCAGATTTGCTGCAAAAAATTATCTTTTTACATTTGCAAAGTGGACTTGGCATGTTTTTAGAATTTTCTCTGTAATAATAGGCTGAAAAAAAMCCATAAAACCTGAATTTTGGCTTACGATTCCTCTGCCATCTTTTTAGCTGGACTCTGCTTTACTATTTTTCTAAATCTGCAGCTTCATCTCCTACTTTCAGTAAACATCAGCAAGAAATGAACTGAATTTGCTAAGTGAAGAAAAAAAATGGATCCAAAGGATGAGCGAACGCCGGTTTTATGGACTAGAAGTCAAAATCTGTGTCAGGAAGTGCTGTGTATGTGGAAGAAGGAGTTGTCATGAAGGAACAACTGCTGGACCCTGTACAGTTCCAGTGTGCTCCAGAAAGAAGTGAAAATACTGCCACTGTGCTGACTGGAATGGTTCCCTGTGCAGGGTGGGGGCTTCAGTAATGACAGAAAATGTAAAAAGAGCATAAATACAGGTTTAATCTCCACTGCTTACCTGGGTTCCTCCAAATGTGTGCCCCAGGSCARAGTTGTCTCTGTTCAAAGTTGCCTRTTCCTTGGTTTATAAAAGAGGGTGCCACAGTGCCAATTCCTCATGGTCTCACTGCAGTGCTCCAAGAGGTGTTCCAACCTCCAAGGAACGATAATTCTGTACAGAAACGGTGTTAAGAGAGCACAATATAATTTTTGGGGTTAGAGGCTGGAATCTAATAAAACAAACGTGAGTGTTTGCTTGCAAATGTAATTCCCTGAATTTGTGGAATAGTCTCCTCAATTGTGTGGGGATTGGGTGTGGAAGACACATTGTGTGATATCTTTGAAGCATGGTGCACTTGGAAATGCAGTGTAGGAAAAAGTTCCTACAGAGGGTTATGAACTAGAAATAATACAAAACTGTGTATGTTTTCCATTTCCATCTCTTGTGAATGTGTGTGACTGAGWTGATAAAATCCAAATTTATCTTTTTCATCAATTTCAGTGGAAATGGGAATTAGAGTAAGAAATGCTGGATTCAACACCAGAGCCCAGCCTGCATTCCACAACATTAATTTGCTCTCTTATGAGGAAAATTATCGTCACTGCACATTTTCAGGAGGGCTTATGAAAAGCAAACAAAAGGGAAAAATAACTTTCCACAATAAATCATGAGCAGACAGCCTAGAGCGTGGTTTCCGTGTTGATACATAAAAAACCCAGACCTTATTGGCTGGTTGTGAGATTGCTTTGATAAAATGTCACTAATTGTTAGGGCTTGAAACAGAGCCAGATAAAATCAACAGGAACATTTTGTCTCCAGAGGGTTTGGAGTAGTATAGGTGGGAGACATCCCTCTGGATTTTATCCAAGAATCTACACTGCATTGTATTTTCATATGTAATGAATTTCTCCTGCATTTTGGCCTCCTTTGAAAACGCTCTTACTAGAAAATACGCCCTTGGATATTTTGGGTAAACTTTAAGTTTTCAGCTGTGCTGATGTATGATCCATGTCTCTGAGTCATTKCATCAGGGTTATTTAAGTGAAAATTCAGTAATCTTTGTTGTTGATAGCTGGGGAGGGAGATAGGCTGCTATAGGGAACATTTAATTCCATCCTGCTTCAAGCAAGTCTGCCAGGGATGTCTGGCTCTTTCACTTGGCTGGGGAGGGAGAAGCTTAACCTGGCCTTCAGTGCTAAGGAAATACCAAACTTACAAACATCATAGATTCATACGTTTAATGGGGTCTATGACCATATATGGTCCAATGCTGGCAGAGATCTGATTCCTTCTAGGTAAAACCCAGTAAGAGGYTAGACCAGTTACCCAGAAAACAAGGTGAGATTGAACCCATGTTATTAAAGGTGTCATAAATTTTAGTTCAACCTATAGCAGTTATCCATAATTGATTTTTAAACTTTTGTAAATCATTGTTCCTTTTGGTTTTTTATTTGGTG